CCCAGGGTACGTTCCGGTATACCGGACAGAACCCAGGGTACGTTCCGGCAGTACTCCGGGGGACATAGACCCTCTCAGCTATACTTATAGTTATACTGTTTTGATTTTTTTAAGGCTGCTGATGATCAACTGGAATTCCAAGGTGATTAATCAAGTTTGCATATTTCTATTAGAAAATATAAGTGGATTAACATCTCTTTGATTGATACACTATCATATAATAATCATTAATATGGTGCCACAGATACTGCTTACAATTTTTTATTTGCACCATTATGATGGTAGACCAAACAAAGTTTGTAATGGAAATAAATTGTTCACAAGATTCATATTTAATTTCAGTGTTTGACAATGATCACATTTATTCTGAAGTAGAACATTACACTTACAGAACATGTAATTGTAACATTAATCTGTAACATTAATGCACAAGATCACTTACACATAAACAAACATACCTTTCTCTCAGTGGGCACGTGGGTACGTGGCTGTATCACTGGGTGCCTTTGGTGGCCAGTGCTATTGCCACAAATTTTTAAACATGAGTATTGACTGTTACCACTTATTTTTATTCATGGAAGAGAAAACTTTTAGAAAACATAGGTAGTTATATGTCAAAAAACGTTTAAAAAAATGTTGCTTTGAAGAAGAAATCCAAATCCAGAGAAGCATATGCTAAGAACCATGCAGCTGCGCAACACATATATTTGGCTGCAACCTAAATTATCATAGTGCAAGTCATCAGTCGTCACCCCTTTAAAAGTATGTAACGAATCTTTACAGTTTAGCAGTGCTAGTTAACCATTACTATATACTATAATTTGTTTTAGATTTCCCTGAGGATGAAGTGGGACCAGCAGCCCCAAATTCATTCACAGGGTTACCTGACCCACATGATGCAGAGGAGAAAGATGATGTAATTTTACATATTATGTGCGGAAGGAAAATTACTGTGAATGCTCACTATACATACACTGTACACGTTGGGTAAAACTAGCCTGGGAACCACCAATCACCTTCTAATATAGGATCCTATTGTCAGAAACATCATAAAGTTGAGGCTAATGTTAATGCTAACATAGTACTTACGAATAATGTTTACTATTATGAGAAGGCTAATTGTGAAATGAGTTGGTGACACTTCAGTGAGTTGAAATCAATTGCACTGGTTGGTGACAGCACAATCTTTGTGTTCAAATATCTTTGCTTATAATGTGGTACATAGTTTTTTGTTAACCTATATTTGACCATATATTTTTTACGTCACAGCTTCTAACTGGGGATAGAACACAGGCATCGTTCTGGACGTTCGAGTATTATCAGGCATTCTTTGATGTAGACACTCACCAGGTTATGAGCAGGCTACTTGGTTCCTTTATTCCAAGGCTACATAGCAACTATCTTCAGACATACATCAGACCTAACCCAGATCTTTATGGTAACTATAACTGTTGGTAATAACATAAATTAGTTAAAGGGATCGTTTACTCTAGGTTCTAGGGTTATTTTCAGTTAATTTAAGTTAAAATTACACTACATAAAAAGTTTCATGGTTCAATCACTATTAGAAATATTATTAAAAAATGTTTTAAAACTAACGACTACAGTTTTATTACAACGACGGTGGCGCCACTCAAAGCGCACGATCTGATGAGTTTCGCAAAACCACTTTTCAGCCAAGGGCTACAGATTGAGGGTGTTTCTTATTTATTAATTTAAAAGCAAAAGGATTGTAATATCTTATAAACGACATATAGTTTCAGTTATAATATGGATAAATTTGCTCTAAAATGAATATCGGTTGGTTAAATAGCATTTAGGTATAAATATAATTGCACTTTTGTGATTAGCCCTCGGTCTGTAACATGCTAAATAAATTGTCAAATATGCAACTTTTTCGGGGTGGCAGCACAGTCGCGGGTGTCATGGCGCCATTCAAATTTCGTAGCGTTGATGTGTAACTAATTATAACAATTAAATTAGGTATCTGGTAACAAATACGTGTGGGTATAGACGATTTGTTATACAGTAAGTACAGTTGTATGCAGTAAAATCCTAGAGTCTACTATCCCTTTAACTAGTCCTGTAGATTTTGGAATTTGTTATTATATTAGACTAGAATAGTAATTACGAAAAATAAAAATTGAGATTATTATTTTTTGCTTACAATGTGCAGTAAATTGTCTGCGTGCATATCATAATGGTGCTATAACTACTCTGCTTTTCTGAACTATATAACCTGTTTAATTTTTCTATTGAAGTTCCTAAATTTAATTACATACATTGAATCACAATTGCCATTACTTTAATTCACCATATAAAAATCAATGAAAATTATACGTTTTTAGTTCCTAATAAAATTGTACAATAGCAAAAATAAAATTGTAGTTTGGGGGATGTGGCTTTGAAATTAATTATGTGTTTGCATCTGAATCTCATAACGCTGTGTGTTTCAGGACCATTTTGGGTGTGCGCGACACTGATCTGTACGATAGCGATAAGTGGTGACCTTGCCGCATTCATGCAAACTTCGGGAAAGATGGACTTTGCGTGGCAAGCCGATTTCAAGAAAGGTGAGAACGATCCAGAATAGCACCCTGACATCACGAGTGTGCATGATACAATATTATCAAAAAGTATTTTGCATTGCAAACAGAAAACCTGAGGTTCAGTGTATTACTGAGAAATACGCTTATTAAAGGTACAAAATCGAACATAGTTCCCACTATTCATTACTGATATCCTGCCTTGACCATGAATAGACTGCTGGGCTTACTTTGAAAGTTTTTTGCAGTTTCTATTGCTGCGACTGCCATATTCTGCTATGCGTGGCTGGTGCCGCTAATACTGTGGGCACTGCTTTGGTTCAGAGGCAGCTCGTCCAGTTACACCTTCCTGGAAATCGCCTGTGTGTATGGATACTCACTGACAGTATATGTGCCAATTTCTGTAAGCGCATAAGTCTTATTAATGGAAACCCTTCCTTGATTTAGTAAAAGTTCTACATTTCGAAGATTTATGAACTAAATTCTGCATGACTCAGCCACAGTAAACAGGCGGGTGACTAATGCTAATGATGCTAAAAATGCCAAATTCTGAACAAAGACTACCCGGGTTGGATAGGATTGTGTCCAGATAGGTGAGGGGTGAAGTTGTGTCTCGGTATCATTTATCAGTGGGAGCTTGAAAGACGTATGGTTGGTTCACTGGAATACCTAAATCTGAAAGAGCTGATGGACAGCTGGAATGTGCATGGGGGGTTATATTGGCAAAGACCCCCATGTAGCTGTAATGTCTTTGCTATAATTATTGTAATATTGGCATATGAATCAGATCAGCTTCAGATCAGATCAGTTAAGGATACTGTATTTGTGCTGCCACCTATCGAGGAAGGAAGTAATGAAACAGAGTTTTCAGGAGGCAGCCAGTTTCATGTTGGGCGTTTAGGAATAAAGATACTGAAACGTATATGAACCTGTTTAAACCTTTTGTGAACACCACAGTAGCTAGTATGTGATATCTTTGGCACACAGACGTATTTTATTTGCGCGCTGATCACATCTGACGTTTCTAAATGACTCTTTGCAGATATTGTGGGTGATTCCATTCGTGTGGCTTCGTTGGCTTCTGCTAGTCATTGGCACTTCCACGTCGGGGTTTGTGCTTCTGTGGGCATTTTGGCCCGCAGTTAGAGATGAAGGAAAGAAGGTATTGTACCACAAACCTATACGTATTGAAGTTGATTTCTAATTTCAAGCATGTACCTGTGAAAATCTTCAGCACAGTTTGGTTTGAATAAGGAATGTAGGTATACATGTAGATCAGCAGCAGTTAGTCCAATAGAGTAGTACTGCACGTAACTTACTTGTGATTTGTTGACTTGCCATCAATGCAAGGGAGCACATACATGCTAATTCAATAGCTTCACGTAGCTTCAAGTTATTTAGAATCCACATAGTATTAGGTGTGCTTATCGATTTATAATCAGTAAATGTTGGAAAACTATACCCATCAAGCATATTAATCTTTTTTTAGCTCATCTGACGTAGTCAGATGCAGCTACGTCAGATGCAGCTTGTAGAATCGCATGATCGTGCGTGCGTGCGTGCGTCCGTGCGTGCGTCCGTCCGTCAACAGTTGGGCACAAATCCTAACCGCTTGACGTACAGTCACGATATTCGGGACGTCGGGGGAGGGGATCGTGAAAAAAACTCAGGATGACAAATTTGGGGGTCAAGGGTCAAATGTCAAGATGTGTAAACGGAGGGGGAATATTTCCCCCTTAACTTAAGGTATAGGAGGAAATACGGAATTGCGGCACAAATCTTAACGGCTCGACCTATGCTCTTAATATTCGGTGTATAGTGTGATGGGCAGGAAACCCATCACCAGTGCGAAATTGGAGGTCACAGTTTAAAGGGCAATGGGGGAAAGGTCAGATATCAGACATTTTTTGAGGACATGGCCTAATGGACAGAGTGAAATACTTTTTTGTTTCAGAGCTGACCTACCATTTTTATCACTTTATTGAAAGGACCATGAAATGTGCTTTCCACTGACGTGCGTAGAGCAGAGTAAGTGTCTGATAACCTGATGGATTCCTGAACTGCCTCAATGACGTCACAGTGTTGTCATATTCATGGCACATCCATAATCTAGAAACCCAGTAAGCCTGGATAGCCGAAAGCATACAGCACAGGCGTCACGGCTCAAAGGTCGTTGGATCGAATCCCATCTGATTTTTTATTATTTACTTGTTTTCTGTATTTTTCAATCTTTATCCATTTAACTATTTTTTTCCAATTAACACAAATATTTACATGATTTATTTACAACAATTTAATAACAAATAATTTTTACAACAATAAATAAAAAAATAAAAATATGGTTAGGGTTAGGGTCACAATGCACCATAAAACAGGAGTTTTAGTCACGCGATTAGTATCAACCAATGGGCTTTGGGAGGTATGCAGAATGCAGAAGGTTGCTGAAATGATGTGTACGCAACTTGCTTATCTGCATATCTGTGCGTAACAAAGGTGTCACTACGCACGACTTGAATGTTACGTTTATAATCGTAGCAACAGACCTCAGATGAGCCCAGACGCTCTGCGACTCTTGTTTAGTTGTTAACATTGTACATTGCCACTTCTTGTGCAGAATTACCCACGTTAAGGTGATCTAGTATTATAAACTGAAAAATACAACAGCAACCAGCATTTCTGTTTGACGGTGTATTTATTTTACTTACAGATTATTGGAATCGGATGCATGTTGCTCGTTGGACTTATGCATGTGGGCTTAGCAATTGGATTTCTGGTAATTGTATGATAATTATTTGTGGTGCTAACTGGCGGTCAAGGCAGGCTATTAATTATTAAATTAATTAATACTTTTGTGGTTTTCACAAATATCACACACATTGAAGCAGTTCCTGTAAGCCAGTTTCCTCTAGATTTTATTATTACTTTTTATGAAACTGTTTTGCTGGTTTACCAATAGCTATCAAACTGAAACTGAAAGTGTCAATATTACACATTAGTTCATTTTTTTGCAGCTTTATTTTTTCCAGGTGCCAGAGTACACAACTGGCAGTACCATCACACCAGCTGCCAATACGACGATGTCGACTACTACCACAAAAATGCCATCAAACGTCACGTAGAGGAAAATCACTGGAATTTTTACACTCTGTACTCTATAAAGGTGGTGGTAACGTAGCAACTGCCCCAGCCTCTTTATAAATTGATACCCAATGTATCGGAACTTCATGCATATAGGGTCGTGTTCTCTGTCACAGCTACAATCGCATGTTGAGAGTAAGGTGATATATTTGGTCAAATAAAGTGAATAAATCATTTAACCTAACCTAGTAGTGCATGACATGCAATGACACGAGTTCTCTGATTAACCTTTACACGTACATTTAACTGTAATGTATATAAGATGTGAGGATTTAAATTGTAGTTGAATCGTGCATATTGTAATAGTAATGAAGGAGTAAATGTCCATGTGGTGGGTACAATAATTAAGACCCTGTTACTTGTTGTTATTATCCATGCTAATTAAGCTTCTGATTATATTATTAATCTTGTCAAGTAACTTCCATTGAAAAAATGAAACTACAAGTTAACAGAGTATACTAAAACAGTTCATTGATGATATCCACCAATTATGTTGGAAATAGAGAAGGACGATACAATTGATGAATTAAACTAAATTTCTTTTAATGAGTCATTTAAAGGATACCGTCATCACGGCCGTAGCTAGTGGTAGGGAGGGGTTTTAATTCGTGCTAGCAAATAGTTAAATTTTTGGGCGCGCATCAAAACCCCACCACAAAAGCAGCTACGAACTCACATATGGGGTCGCCGCGTGCACTGACCAAGATGAAGTGGCCGTTGCCAAACTGGGATAAAAAAAACACTGATTTATGCTAGCATTCTACCCGAGGAAGTGCAAGACCTTTGACTCTGGCAAGAAACGAGGTGTTGTAGCTTGTAATTAATACACATACACGCGCGCGCGCACACACACACACGCACGCACGCACACACCTCGTGTGCACACATGG